AGGCTCAAGCGGGGAGGGAGCGGAAGGGAGGCCCGAGGTCCCTGGTCCTGGGGTCCTGCCAGACTCTGAGTTGATTAAACCTAAACTCCCAGAGATAAAGATGCTTGTGGGCGCTCCAAGGACAGCTGCCCGAGCACACCCTGGAGCTGCTGTAACAAATCAGCACCAAGCGGATGGCCTAAGCCAACAGCAAGGATGTTCTTGTGGCATGGGAAGACAGAGCCGGCTCCCTCCGAAGTGGGAGAATCCTCCAGGGGGATTCTTCCTGCCTCTTCCGCTTCCTATGGGTTCCGATCAATACTAACCCTTCATTGGCTTGGAGTAGCATCACTGTGATCTCCGCCCCTGTCCCCACATGGCCTTCTCCCCTGCGTGTGTCCCTGTGTGTCCTCTCCTCTTCATAGACGGTCGATGGTCATTGGATTTATTGAATTTTTAAAAAAACAATGTGACCTCCTTTGGACTAATTACATTGGTAAAGCCCCTGGTTCCAAAGGAGATCACTTCCTGGGGTTCCTAGTGGACGTGATCTTGGGGAAGGAGGGACACAATTCAACCTCTTACCCTAACCTTGATTGCCATATCTGGGGGTCACACCAAAGCCCACAGAGGTTCCCGCAAGTGTGGACTTGACTCGAGTTGCCCCGGAGGCTGGCAGGCGCCTGATCCCCTTTGTTTCTGTGTGGCCCACGAGCTAAGAATGGGTGTTACTTTTGTTCATGATTCAGACAAAATAAACACTGGAATGATCTTTTGTCACATGTGAAGTTTGTCTGTGTCATGGCCACAGAGACTGTGACGATGTTTTCCTGACCTGCTGCCCACCTAGAGCTTGGGGTTCTCTCCAAATGCCTGGGCCTCCTTCTCTGGGTCAAGCAGCATCTGTGTATGGCCCAAGGCTGCTTCATGGTTAAAAGACGGGGCACCAGGACACCAGGCGGGCGGGCCAGGGTTGGAATTCTGCACTAGTGGGTGTCCTTACCTGAGAACAGGGACAGTCCACATCTGGGCCTGCCGTGAGGGTTAGCTAAAACACAGGAAAGGCCGACTGTGGTGCCTGTTGGCCTCTGGGTTTGGTCACCTCTCACAGCTCCAGCCTGCTGCGGAGGTGTCAAGCCACAGCGGTGCAGAGACCTCTTACATGCCACAATCCGCATCTCACTCACTATGATGGACGCTTCCAGGGAGCCTCTTTGGGCCTAACGCCAGAGGAGAGTGTAACGGAAGTGCAAGTGTGTACCGTCCGCCTCGGGCACAAGAGTGGAACTTTCCAGGGAGACGTCCACAGCGGGAGGCACAGGTATGGGCCTGCTGGCTCTTATGTGCCTTTGGAGCCACACCCCACCTTGCTCTGTGCCCTGCATGGACTGAGTCCTGGAGCCCTCAAATCCAGTGGGAACTGGGCTTAGGTGACAGGGAGCGTGGGCAGGATGGAGCAGAGGAGGGTTGGGAACTGTGGCCCCCAGCACCCCTCTCCTCTGCCAGCCTGTCTGCAGGTTCCGGCAACCTCTTCCTCCATTGGCCATGTGCGCCAGGTGGGAATGACTTGAGATTTCAGGTTTCCTCCGGATGTGATTTCTAGCTGGGAAGGGTCCTGAGGAAGGGTAGAACACACCTTGTTGAGGGAGTGAGGGGAGGAAGGGCAGAGGTGAACTGTGCCCGAAGCAGGGGCTCTGGGTGATTCCACCCCACAAACAGCCCCAGTCCCTTGAGGGTTGTTCGGCTACGAATCCTGTGCACATGCAATCTCCCTTCTAATGTCCACACACTTTCCGGGAGGGGTACAGAGCAGTGATCACCAACTGAAGTTTTGTTGGGTGTGCTTGTGGTGCCAGGGGTGGAACCGAGGGGTGCTCTGCCCCCGAGCCCTTTCTTTTTATTTTGGGACAGGTTGTCACAAAGTGGCCCAGGTTGGTCTCCAACTGTGATCCTCCTGCCTCGGCCTCCAGACTGGCTGGGATTGCAGGCATGCACCATTGCACGTGGCAGAGAGCTGACATTTTTCAAGGTTGGTCTGAGCCCTCGCCTTTTGCATACACTGGAGACTTGAAGCGGTGGTGGTGGGGGGTGGCCATCGAGCAAATAAAAATAGGGGACATAGTTGGCAGACCTTGAGGCCAATCCCATTGCCATGGAAACAGTAGTCCTGGTGGGTTTGGGATTGCCCTTCCTTATGCAGGGAAGGAAGGAGGATGAGGGTCAGGTGAAGGTCCTCCTGGGTCACCTGTGCCTAAGCGGTTTCTTACCTACCCTTGGCTCCACAAGTCACATGCTGGAGAAGGAGAGGTTGCATTTGTTCTGTGGATGGGGTAGCGGTGGCTGGCGGAGGGCAACCTTAAATTCAAGTGGAAGCTAACCAGTGTCACGGGGGACCTAGGTCTCCCACGTCCATGCTCCTTTCGGTGGGTCTCACTAGCCCAAAGTGACCTTTTCCTGTTTAGAAACTCTGGAAGCTCTGAGAACCTCTGCAGTTTCTGAGAGATGGTCCAGAGTTTTCCTGAGGTCACCTTCTCTCAGGGGAGACTGTGCGTAATTCCTACTGGGATGCTGTCTCACCCTTGGCTTTGGGAAATGATGTCTTCCCAGCGTCCTCTTAGCAGATTGACCCTCCCACGGGGTTTTGCTGTAGATATTGTTTCTTTTCTCACCAAGTGTATTTGACTGGTCATGGAGCCAAAGTCCATGCCCACCGACCACCCGTCGGGAGAGACCAACCTGGAATTTGAAAAGGAATGAGGAGGAAGATTGGAATTGAGGGATACTGAGAAGCTTCTCCAAGGTCTGCAGCTGCTTCTCTGTGTGTGCTGCAAAACGCTTTCTTTCAACCCCATTATCATACTGGATCTTTCAGCTGGTCTCCAGGGCAGATTGGGGCCCACTCACTTCCTCTGAGAACCAAGAGGCACTTTATTTATTTATTTATTTTTATTTTTAAATTTTTTTTTGTGTGTGTGTGTGATGCTGGGGATTGAACCCAGGTGCTCATGAATGCTTGGCAAGAACTCTGCCACTGAGCTACATCCACAGTCCCCAGAAAAACGCTTTGAGGTCTCCCGGATTGCAAAGGACCATTGTAGAATGAGTTCACCCTTCAGATTCCCAGTTCAGAATCTCTTCCATGTCATTATCCTTTAGCCAAACACCCTCAGGCATGGGCCTGGAGTTGCTTCTAATGTGGGAGTGGGGGTCTCAATTATGTGTAAGATAAAAATTATGTGTAGTTAAAAATTACCCTTGAAAACCCCTTATCAACTTGAAAATTGGTTATAAAGACCAGTGTACGCGGTTTGCACTGTAATATAAACAGTAGCTCTCTTATCTGACCTCCTCTTAACAGCGAGTCACCTTAATGGATACCCCGTATGCCCTCTGCAAGACACGCTGGCGTCCTGGTCCCCCAGGGTTGGGGGCCAGAGTTGAGCTGTTTACAAAGAGTCAATTATCCCCAACTTGTTTACGCCAATTGTGCTTTTCATAGTAATTACATAATTTAATAAACTCTGATGTACATGGGTAAAATAAGAGTAGAAAAGGATAATAGTTTTTCTCTGAAAATCATGTTGAAAGCCTGCGTAAAGGGAAGCTGTTAAAAATAAAAGGGTATGTGGAGTCAGCCGTGGGCAAGAGCCATACAGCATTCAGGAGAGAGAAGGAAATCTAGGATTCCGCAAGCCCTGATTTCTACATGTTCTTGTTTTACCTTACAGCCACAGAAGCTGGAAGGCACCAAGGATTCATTATAAGTGTGATTTACAAAAATAGACGCTAATTCCATACTCGGAGCCCATTCTGGAAAAAAAAAAAAAAAAAAGAAGAAGAATTCCATGGCTCCCAAAATTCACAGAATAGTGAATGAATTTGCATTTGTTCTTTTAAAGCAAAACTATTTAACATATATATGTATATTGATTTCCCCTGCTTTAACTGTATGTTAATTAGCTGAGCCGACTTGATATGCATAGGTGTCTGACGGGCATTTGACAACAAGGTCGACCGCGTACACTATGTTATTCATTGAGGGGCATTGAATATACCCCCAGCCCAGTGCTGGGGATTGAACCCAGGGCCTCACGCATGCTAAGCTCACACTCTACCAGTGAGCTACAATCCAGCCCCTATCCGTACTCTGATTTCTTTTATTCTCTTTCCCTTATGGGAGTCCATAATAATGTGGCATTATTCCACACTGCCACACCACTGTGCCCACAAATTCAGCAATCTAAGTCCTCACTCTAAACCTGGGGGATCAGTGGGTTGGATCCTCTATTCCACAAGGCATTTCTCAGGACATCCACATGCCCAGGAGCCAGGGAGCTGGCTTTGGAGAAATTCAAATAAAAATGGGCAAGAGGCGAGCCTTAAGCTCTCCGAGTGGCAGCACCGGCCTCTGGAGCCTGACTGCTTTAGTGCAAATCCTGGCTCTGCCACTGCCTGAGGGGAGGCCACACACACGCTGTCTGTTCCAGCTGCCCTGCTAGGAGCTGCCGCAAGGGTTTCATGTGTTACGAAGTGTAACGTGATGACGGCAGTGCCAGGCGCAGCGTGAACCCATGATAGAGTTCGCCGTCGCTATCGTTATCGGTGTGAATCACTCTCTTGCCTAATGCACCTGCGTGGCTCTTGCCCTAGATATCCATGCTCTATCATTTATCCACCTACTGGGGGTTGAACCTGGGCCACATCCCCAGCTCTTTTTATTTTGAGACAAGGTCTCAGTAAGTTGCAGAGACGGGCCTCAAACTTGTGATCCTCCTGTCTCAGACTCCCAAGTTGCTGGGTGTGCTCCACAACTCCTGCTTATCCTGAAGATTTTAAAATAAATAAAATAGCTCATTTCAGATATGCCCCCATCTTTGAATGAAGAGATCAGAGGGTCAGGTCCTGGACTGTGCCTGGGCCCCACGTGGCTCACAGTGGGCGTCCGGGGAACAGATGGCTTGAACATGACACTGGGCTAGGTGTCCCCTTCCCCTGCCGGGGAGGAAGAGAATGAACGCTGCTTCAGAACTCCAAAACAAAAGTTTATTTATAAAATACTGACAGTTCGACAGGACATGGGACTTCTCGTGGTATATATTTCAAATCAATTTCTTTTAACCTTTCATTTAAAAAATAAACCTGCTAACAAGCTATGTGACATATACATATATATTCTTCTTACAGATAGACACCTGCCATAACGAATTCTCTCCCATAATTTTTCTTTTATATCTTTTAAATCAAAAAATAAAGATCTGTCTGGGTTTCGTTTTTGGAGTCTACATGGGTGAAGAAAGGTAACACATTTAAATGCTTTTGGTTATTTCTATGGAAACAGAGAAGAGGGGGTGGTCCTAAGGGGGCACCTGTGCTCAGGGTGGCGGACAGGGTGGTGTCCCTGGACAGGACCATACAGAGGCACTCGGGAGCTGGTGGCGGCTGCTCAGAGGGTCCCCTGCTCCCCTCCTGCCCGCTGGCCCCTCCGCCAGTGTGGGTACTTTCACTGTGTTCTCTGGGACGGCGAGGGAGACCCAGAGTGTCCAATCGTTAGGCACTGGCACCTTAGGGGTTCTGCCCAGGAGGCGCGGGCAGCAACAGAAGGCCTCTAGAAGCGCGCATGGACGAGGCAGCACCTCTGTGTCCTCATACCTCCGACTCACGGCAGTGTTAGATTTGGGGAGCGGGCAGGGGTGAGGAGGGCAGCCTGGGTTTACAAACTTCTCGGAGCCCTAGAAGGAAGGTGCTTCTGGAATCCAGGGCTTCTATTTGGTTCTTCTTGGCAGTCTGGGTGCACAGCTCACACGAATGCAAGAGGCACAGCCAGGAGGGGGAGAGGTCAGCCTGGCGAGCCATGCTTGGGCTCCTGGGGACAACACCAAAGGGACCAGGTGTGTCCAGGTGTGAACCTGCGGCCAGCAGAGTTGCACAGGCAGGGTCCTGGCATCACTGGCTCAGGAAATCGAAGCCAGGAAGGCTCCCTGTTACCCCTGGGCAGTGCCCACCACACCCTTCCAACGTGGCCAGGTGTCTGGCAGGAGGTGCCAGGAGCCTCCACGCTCCACCGGCCCAGTAGATATGTAAACGAGAGCAAAGAGACGTCTCCGTAAGACGAATCTGAGTTCCACAGCTGGAGACCCACCTGGGCTTCCAGATGTGGCTGGGGCAGGGGAGACAGCACTCCTGATGGGTGGGCGTTGATGAAGGGGGATGTCCACCTTGGGCCCAGCCTGACTTCCTGGACTCTCCTAGTGGCTGTGACTCACAGTGTCCTCACCCTCTTGGGCAACAGATCCCAGTCACATCCCCAGCACAAGTCACCCAGGCCTCGTGCGCCTCACGGGGGAGACGGCCTCGGCCATAGGAGGGAGTTGCCAGAGCCCCTTTGCGGAAGTGGGTGTGTCCTGTGCACATCAGTGTGGTGTGCGAGTGGGTAAGCACGGGTGTACACGGTGGGCACGTCCTGCACGGGCACGTGGGTGGCAGCAGAGTGTGCAGGGAGCAGGGGAGATTTTAGTGCACCAGGTGATTCATTAAAGGCAAAGGACGATCAGCCTCATGTGCGGATCATACACAGGATAAAATTTCTCAGCCCTGCCTCCTCCCCAGAGCTCCCTCACTGGGTTGGGCTAAAATAATTCCCAAATGCAAACTGGGAATTTCTTTAAATGGTTAAACGCTCCAGAGAAAGGGAAAAGGACGAAATTGTTAAAGAAGAAGACGAAGAGGAAGAAGAGGAGGAGGAGGAGGACGAAGAGGAGGAGGAGGAGGCGGCGGCAGCGTCTGAAGATGCACTGCTGGGGGGCAGAGGCTGCAGGGGCCACGGGTCCCGCTGACTCCAGGGCAGCCTCCAGACAAGGCCTGGGGTCTTGAGCACCTGACTCCCTAGAGGAGCTGAGCAGCCCTTCCCCAGGCCCCCGCACAGAGAAGCCCCGTCTGCACATGGGGTCAGCCTCCCACATCTCCCCACTCACATTCCTTAGGGGGCAGTGAGCCCATGCAGCCTGGGCGGCTCCTCCCTTCAGAGCTCTTGACCCTGACTTCCCTTCCCGGTTGCCATTAGCACAGCCGCTAACTTGGGGCCAGTGGAGAGGGGTCTGGGCTCTCTTTCCTCCACTCTTTTCCCGAATCCCCGCCTTCCTCAGGCCTCCCCTTCCTCTTCTCCTCCCCCACCAAAACAGGGTATGGCCCCCTCTCCAGCAGGGCAGGCACTGTGGGTCGAGCACTCCACGAAGGGGCCCCGGGCCGAATGGGACATGCCCAGGCCCGGACAGTTCCTCTGAGAGGCAGCTGTCCACCCACAGTGACGAGCTAGTCTGCGGCAGACTTCACAGGGCTGCTTGTGGTCACCTAGGGGACACAGATAACCCAGGGAATCTGCTGGAAAGGCTCCTCCTTAAACTGTTGCGGTAGAAGGCTCAAACTGATGGGACCATGAGGCCACCAGAAGTGGCTTTTTAAAGAACATTCCTTGGAGCAGATCATGTGTGCGAAAGCCTCTCCTCCCGCCAGCTATTCTTGTCCCTGGGTCCCATCTGGCCCGCCCTGCTGGCTGGGCTCACCGTGCATCTCAGATGCAGTGTCCAGTTTAGACTGGGCTTCCTGACCAGTCTCTCCGTGCTCCCGGCTCTCGCCAGGCTGAGCCCAGCCAGGAAGACGTCACTCAGGGTTGGGGCATCCTTGGGCTCTGTGAACCAGGTGCTGGGCAGACTGAGCATATGGTGGCTGCTCTGGCCTCTGGCTCGGGGCCTGGGCAGGCCTCTGGGCCCTGAGTGCTGCGCTTAGCAGGCTACAGCGGAGACAGAGGGACACAGATCTGAAAGAGATCAATGCTGCGGGGCCAGGAGGGCCCAGGGGATTCTCTGGGGAGGGATCCTGGAGCCTTTCCTTGCACATGTGCACAGGACACGTGTGCACTCAGGTACACGCACATACGTGCGGCCGGGAGGAAGATGTCCGCTCAGGGGAGAGTGGTACGTCTGTCCAGGCAGCGATCCTCACCCTGCCTGACCCCTCAACCTATCTGACTTCTGCAACGTGTGGCACTTACTTTTGCCCGGGGACCCCGGCAGCCGCCTTACACCTCTGCTCCCCAGGTGGAGCCTTGTCTGTGCTCAGGAAAGGGAATTCAGGTAAAGGGAGGCAGGGTTTCATCATACGGGAACTCTCCCCAGCCCACAGGCCCTCTTCCTTGTATTCACAATAAAAAAATAAAATATATATATATATGTAGGAACAAGAAAGTCGCTAAGCAGATTCTCACCCTTTAGTTTCTTTTCCTTTTTCTAAATGAACCAGATGTGTGATGGAGAGGCTGAGCAGGGAGGGGAGCAGTGGAGGTGGGTGGCAGGGCGGGGGGGTGACCAGGCCATGACACCTGGCCAGGCGAGGTGCAGAGGGAGAGGCAGGCTCTGGCCCTGGGATACCTGTCCTTTCTGCAGAGGAGCGCGGCGGAGGGCCCAGGAACCAGCTCAGTAGGGGGCAGAAGCGGGCAGCTGGCCACACGTCGAGAGGTTTCTCCATCCTGTGGCCTCGCCTGCTGTTCAGCCTGGGGTCCCTTGCCCTCTCTCCCTCTCTCCAGGGGCACGACCCCCTCTGCCCACTGCATCAGTGAGACAGCCGCATCCTCAGCCGTGCAGATCCTCAGAGCAGTGAACCCCACCGTCTCCCGCTCACAGCGGACTGGCCAGGTCCTCGCGTGATTTCCTTCTCCCTACTTCTCAGCACGGGCTTCGCTGGCCCCGCCCGCAATCCCTGGAAAAAATAAGCTCGGGAGGTGGAGAGTTGACTGGGTTTCTGGGTGTTCCGTTTTCTGGCAGGTGGTTTGGGAAGCGTGAAGGAGGAGTTTGGTATCATTTTTCTTTCTTTTTCCTCTTCCGACGTCAAACAAATGATGAGAATCCCGCTATAGGTGCCCGGGAGCCAGGGGCGAGGCTGCTCGGGGGACGGTAGAGGGTGCTCTGTTGACTTGGGGGGTTCGGAGGGTTTTGGGGCGTTGGAGTCCGGCTGGCCTTGGGCCGGAAGAGGCTGCCCTGCTGGGCGCTGTTGCTATTGGTGACGGTGGCGTGGTCCGGCTCACCGGAGTCACTCTCAGTGTAGCTGTACGCCTGGGCCCGCGAGATGCCCTTCTGCTGGCGCCTCCAGGAGTTGTAGTATGTGGGGTCGCTGATGTAGTGGTTGACAAAGGAGTGGGCCTTCTGGGGGTTAGGGTCGACCTCGTACTCGCTGTCACTTCCCTGCGAAGACAGAGGATTGGGACATCAGTGGCCTTGAGGGGTCAATTCAGCATGGCCAGGGCTGGAGGGCACAGCACGGCCAGGGCTGGAGGGCACAGGGTCCTGAGGCACAACCCCTGTGCTGCCCCTTTCCAGCCTTAATTGGGGGGAGGTGACCTCACTGCCAAGTGGGCACTGCACCCGGATGCCCTCTTCCTGCTTCTTCAGAGCAGAGACTAGACAGAAAATCTGCACCATAGTGTTGGCTCAGGGCTGGTGGACACAGTTGTCCTCCGTTATCTACAGCCATGTTCCAAACCTTCAGTGGATGCCTGGAACCTGAGATGGTCCTGAGCCCCACGGATGCTATGTTTCCTTACATCCACATCCACGGTAAAGTTTAACTTATAAATCGGGCGCGGCCGAGAGGAAGAACCACAGCCATCAAATAGAACAATTAGAACAACATGCTGTAAGAAAGGTTATGCGAATGTGATCTCTCTGTTTATCTCTGGAATTTTCCACTTCATACTCTGGGCTCACAGTTAACCACCAGCAACTGGAACCACAGAAGCAAAACAGAGGGGTAAGGAGGAGGGATACCCAAATTCCCATCTTTTTTTCCAATCCAGGTGCAACTCACATTAACATAAGGCTACATTGTTTTCAGTGTGCAACTCAGGGTGTTGGGTTGGCTCTCTATGTTGTAGACCCTCCCTTGCACTAGCTCAGAATGTTTTCATCACCCCAAAGTAAAACCCAGTCTCTCCCCCTCCCACTCCTCCCTCTGCAACCACAAATCTGTTTTCTGTCTTCAGGGATTTACCTATTCTGGACATTTCCTATTAATGGAATTATATAAGATGCAACCTTCCATGTCTGACTTCTTGACTTAGGGCGAGGCTTTTGAGGTTCACCCATGTGTAGTAATCTGGGTTCAAACTGATTCAGGGGACCAACAAGAGCCAGATGAAATCTTTGGAGGCTGCTAGTGAACAGTGTAAAAGTGCCTACCCAGTTCCAAAATAAAAATGACACTTGGTTACAAAATAAGCACAGGAAAATATCAACAAAGGTTCTGAATTTTCATGCGGTGACAACTGCGGGCCCCACCCCCCTTTGGAAATGTAAAATATCAAGTTGTTCTTAAATGCCTTTGGGTACTCTGCTGCTCTAGGTACAGGCCTCCTCCTTCTCCTGGGGATGGAGACAAGAGTCAATCTGGGGTGTCAAGTAAAATTCGACTCATGGAACTAAAAATATGGCGAACCCTTCCCCCACCCCTCCCAGCAATGTTTTGAGAACTAAAAAGACAACAGATGGGAACTCTTTGGGAGAGAGGAGCCTGATGTTAGGGAAGGGCGCACTCCCAATGAAAGCTACCCGCTTTCATCACCCCCTGCCCACTGATGGTAGCCTGGGTGCAGTCAGCAAGGGCGGTGCGCGGAGTTCTGCTTTGCAGGTAGAGAAACTGCAGCTGGACCTTTTCCCGAGGTCCCCGCTGTGGGAGATGAAAGGCACAGTGTTCCAACTTGGGCCCTCTGGGGACACTGGAGCAGGCCCTCTCCATGACCCCCCGACTCGCTCCTCTAATTGGTTTGCACACCTCTGTGCCCAGGCTACCAGAGCACAGGCCTGTTTGAGGACTGAGGAGGACCCAGGGCAGAAAGGGCGTGGCTGGAGGCCACCCTGGCCAGGTTTCCCCCAGCCCAGCAGGCTCTGCACTCCTCCACTCCTGCCTGGAGGCCCCCAGAGGGAAGGACCCTCCCTCCCCCAGTGGGGCTGAGGCCTCCCATCCCATCTGCTAAGTCATGTTCTCTGGCCCCTCTCCTCACCCCTCTGAGCCCCTGCCATCCCCTTACCAGCCCCAGCAGACACTCCCCACTGCCCAAGACAACAGAGGGCCCTGCCCCCAAGGCACAATGCAAGTCCCCCCCCCCCTCAGCACTTTTTTTTTTTTTTTTTTTGCCTACTGCCCAGCTGCTGTCTGGGGAACAAAAGGGACACACAGGCAGGAGAACTCCATATGCTGAGGGTGGGCACCTGAGGCTGGGGGTCACTCCTGGAGGAGCGTGAGGGGCTAGAGGGAGGGGGATGAGGGGAGCCTGCCCCACAGGTTCCCTCCCGGGTCCGGTCTCACAGTGTCCAGCATTTCCAGGGGTTCTAGGATTTTAGCCAGCCTCAGTCCCAGCCTTGGAGAGGAGACCCGGGTCACTTGGGCTGCTCCAGGGTCAACAGTCTCTGGCCCTTGCCAATGGGGAAGTGTGGCCCATGGCTCTGGCTCCCTCAGCCTCAGTGTCCTGTAAAGTGGGGGACCCCCACGGTCCACAGGTGGAAGGAGGTGACAGAGGAGAGGGGGCTGGGACAGAGTGAGGTGTGCTGGGGGCAGGGGCAGACCAGTAGTGAGGGGTCCAAAGGGAATAGGGAAGCTGTTTTACCGCTCAGGCCCCTGGGAAGTAGGACAAGGTTCAGCTTCTGACCCCTGACCTCCTCTCCAAAGTGGAGCATGGCTGGTGTCTGGTCTGGGGGCAGGATGGGGTCTCTCTGCCCGTCCTGGAGACTCCGATCTCATTCTTGCAGATCATCACCATCCCAGGAGCTGCTCTCTCTTCAGCACCTCCTGGATGCTGGGCCCCGGGCAGAGCAGGATCCCTGCCAGGGCTGGGAAAGCCAGAGACGGAGCCTGGGAGAGTCTGGCCCTCCCCCTCCCCCAGCTCTCCAGGGCCAAGGAGCAGGGTCTTTGCATCAGCCATGGCTGTCCCGCCTCCACCGCCCAGAACATCTGTTTCTTTTCGGGGTGGGGGTGGGGTGAGAAGAAAGAGAGCCGGGGACGGGCTCCTATTGCAGCTTTTGGCTCTCAGGGCCTCTGCGGTAATTGAATGCAGCTTCCCAGGAAGGGCCCAGAACAAAGGGGCCTTTCAGGGGCCGTCCTAGCCAGGCCACCAGCCACTGCCTCAGCTCCTGGCCTCTGAGCAGCTCCGAGAGCCACTCAATCAGCAGTGCCTGGCCTGGGAGGGGGAGCAGTGACTGGCTCCAGGCCTGGCCATGGGAGTGGGGAGGGGGCGAAGGCGGTAGGACCCCAGAGAAAAGACCAAAGCCAAACGGAGGGGACAAAGCCAAGCTCCTCTGCTTTCTTGTTCATCTCCGGAACCAGACTCAGCCAGCGCAGGAGTGAGGAGCCACCCAGGGCTCCGAGACAGGGTGGAGGGGCCGGGCAGGGGTCGTGTCTGGTGTCTGGGAAGAATGTGTGGCCTCCCAGGGACGTCTGCTCCCTACCTGTGGTCCCAGGGGCTTTCTGCCCTGCCCAGCCCTGTCCCTTGGATACTCTAACCCCTGAGCCAGCCGGCCCACTTCCTGCAGGGCGGCAGCCTCTTGGAAATTAGAGCCAGGTAGGGCTGCCGTCCCATCTCCTAGGTCTTTTTGAAGGACTTCATTGGACGTCCCCTCAGAGTTCTGGACTCTGGATGCTGTTACAATTCTCCCAGGAATATCCCATGAAAAATGCCAGCACAGATACAATGTCATACACGTGACCTGTGCCCTTACAGGTAGTGATTAATAGCCAATGCCTGCCCACCCCTCGGCTGGCAGAGATGCCTGGGGGTCAGGGGTCTCAAGGGAGGTCACTGAGGTAGGGTTGGGGTGAGCGAAGGAAAATCTCCTTCAATTCCCCCTGTGCTGGGCAGCTGGGTGAGGCCAGGCTGCAGTGGACACAGCCCTGAGAGCCATCTGGATCTCAGGTGAGGCCCAGCCACCTGCCCTTCTGAGCCCTGAGACCAGAGCATGCTGCGGACTTCTCTGAGCCTTCGTTCCCGCTGTGGGAACAAAGTGGGGTGCTTAGATGTTAACCAAGAACCGTCAAGAGCTCGGGGCTCGGCACTCAGCGGGTGCCCATGTGTGGCTTTGCCTCCCTCCCCCTTCCCTGGACTCTCTCTGGGGTGCTTCTCCTCCAGCTGGCCTGCCAGGGCCTGGGTGGGCTGGGGTTACGGAGAAGCAGGAGACAGGGCCCAGCCTGTGGAGTGGTGGCCCAACCTCATGGAAGAGACCAGAGACACTCAGCAGGGTGCAGGACCACCCCTGAGGCAAAGCTTCCTCGTGCTGACCCAGCCCTGTTCACGCCGAATGAATGTCACCTCCTCAAGGCCGCCCTCCCTGGGTCTCTGCGCCGACCAAGTGGCCCTTTCCCAGGACTGCCCCGGCACTGCCCCTGCCCTACGCCAGGGAACACAGAGACGCTTGTGCCCACTTTCTTCCTGCAGCTACTCATTGTGGTTCTGCGACACCTTAACGAGAATGAAACAGGATTCTTGGCACACACACGGTCTCCCCTCGACACAGATCACAGCGCGCAATAATGGAGGGTCCGTCCTGCCCCCTCTGGAGCTGCCACCAGCAAGCCGTGTCTGGGGCTGTCCCATGGCGCGAGCAAACAGCTCTTGATGAAACGCACCGCGGAGTGAGTGGGTGGAAGAGCCCCAGGAGGGCACAGCCAGTGCCCGCTCCTCCCCGGGCCAACCCAGGTGTGCGGGGTGCGCACAGGTATACTGGGAAGATGCACTGGAGGCCCCCCTCAGCCTCCTCCTCATCTCGAAAAAGCCATACCCCCTCAGTGGCTCCCAGGGGCCCTGAGGACCAAGTAATGTCACCTCCCCAGCAACCTCGAGCCATCCTGGCTCCTAAGGACCACGGGCTCCGTGGGCTCCATAAATAGTATCCCCAACACGATTTGTCCTGAATGTCTTCTTTGTACTTTTTTTTTTTTGGTATTGGGCACTGAACCCAGGGGCACTTAACCACTGAGACACACCCCAACCTTTCTTTTTTAATATATTTTTTTAGTTGTTGATGGACCTTTATTTTGTTTATTTTTATGTGGTGCTGAGAGTTGAACCCAGTGCCTCACACATGCCAGGCAAGTGCTCTACCACTGAGCCATGGCCCCAGCCCACCCCCAACCCTTTTTATATTTTATTGAGGTATGGGGTCTTGCTAAGTTCCTGAGGCCGGCTTTGAACTTGTCGTCCTCCTGCCTCAGCCTCCCCAGCCGCCGGGATCACAGGCGCAGGCCACCGTGCCCCCAGCTCTTCTTACTTCTTTCAGAGAGGCTTAAGGCCATTATAATGAGGGGCCACCCATGACGCTGCCCAGAAATGAGTATCGAGATTAGAAGGCGGATGCCATGGGTTTGGCCTTTCTTCCCCCATTGAGATTAATTTCTGTGCTAAAGATTTTTTTTTTTTTCCTACCAAACTTGGGCTGTTATTTTGAAAACGGAGTTGGAAGGCGGCCATAAGTGCATTTTTAGAAGTTCCGTCAAATGAGCCACAGGCTCTTTAAGTCTCATCTTTGGGTGTGCCTCCCTCTGCCTGGAGCCCCTTCTGCACCGCTCGGAGCACAGCTCTGGGCTCCCCAGTTTCACTGCTGGGGAGAGCCGGCCCCTCCCCTCTGTCCTTCCGCACGCGGCTCCATGGTGGCTTCTCTCTCAGGGAATCATGTGTGCTTGTTTATCAGCCAAACTGACTTTTGTTTATTACCATATCACAGGAAAGCGGCTGCACCGATCGCCTCCAGTTTGGGAGAGTGAGAGTTGGGTGGTCTGACTTAGAATATGAACCAGGAGGCCATATGCCCAGCTCACGTGGAGGGGGACTTCAAAAAGGTGGGCGGTGATTCTCTGGAGCCACCCAAACTTTGGAGGAAGCTGCTGATGGTCTTGGGGGACATGTGGCAAGACACGAAGGGAGACATGTGGCATCAGCTCCGTCATCTTCCCAGATCCACTTCACAGTGGTGCCACACTCTAGACACGGCCTTGGAACGGAGTGGGCTTACTTATGTGTGGACGGAGGGTACTGGAGCCGGCCAGCTGCTCTGTCTCCAAGTCGCTCTCTCCCAGGACCATGGGGGCAGAATCATGTCTCAATCACCTCCACGTCCTATGAGTGAGCTCCAGGAGTGAGCCTGGAGACGTGTGTGTGTGTGTGTGTGTGTGTGTGTGTGTGTGTGTGTGTGAGTAGAGCCCTTGCCTAGCATTTGCAAGGCCTCCAGAGCCAACAGACCCAAGACAACAAGGCTGAGCCCCGACACAGACCTGAGCTACCTCCACCTCCCCGGGCCGGCACCCAGAGCCTGGGCTGGATGGACCAACCCCCAAAGGAGTGTGGGCATTGTGCTGTGACAGCTGCCCTCTCCCAGGGCAGTGCTCCAGGGGAGGGACTGGTTCCCAGTTGCTATGGGAACAGTGCTCAAGTGATGGGCTTCTTTAAGCCAATCAGACCCAGGGCTTAGCAGAGGGAGGGTTCCGGGCACTCTGGGTCCACCCTGAGCCGACTTCTGAGGTCAGCTGGTCTGGGGCACAGGGTGTCTTTCTGTAAGGCTAGGAGGCCCTGGCATGGTCTCCTGGCCGTGGGACTACTCTGTCCCCAGGAGATTCCTCCAGGTTCATGCAGAGCGGGTGACAAAAAGGCCTTGGGATACGCAGGCAATCTCTCCTGTCCTGGAGGGCTTGTCCCTGAGGCTGAGCCCAGGCAGTAAGGGTGGGTAGTGATGTGCTCTGCAGAAGGCCAAGGCCACCAGGCAAAGCAACACAGGAAGCCCCTCTTGCCGGCTGCTTCTCACCACAGCAGAAGCACATCCCAGGAGTCCCATGCAACTGCCCCATGGTCAGAGAAAGTCCCTTTATCTTTGTCAATTCTACCTTGGATGTCTAGAATCTAATGCTGGTCACCATCTTTGGGGAAAAGAAAGAAAAGTGGTGTGTTAGGGGAAGGGCCCAGCCTGTGTGTGCTCGTGAGTCCCCCTGGTCGGTGTGGCCGCACGACGTTAAAACCTGTCACAAGCTGAATCACAAGGCTTCCAGCAGCTTTGTTCCCCCACCAAGTCCCAGGGAACGCCAGGCTAAGTCGGGGTCTCTGCCCACCAACTGTGAGCCGTGGACGTAGGTGGGCCTTTCCGGCTCCGCCAAGCCCAGCCGTAACCCTGGAGCTGAGCACAGCGGCGCAGGGAGCGGCCTCAGTTCACCGTCGCAGTGCATGGTCGCACCTCCCCGCAGGTCAGCCTGCTCCCTTTGACACCTCTTGGAATGCCCTCAGCCCCTTAGCTGAGTGTCACTATTGCCTGGCCCACCTGATGACCACTCTAAGCTCTGTCTTCCAGAGTTCGGGTTCCCCTACCCCCACATAAAAGGCAGCACTGACTGAACGGTTGCTGTGTGCCAGTCCAGGGCCAGACTCTCAGGGAAGTCCCCATAGAGTACCATGAGATGGCCTGTGACCACCCCTGCCTGTTCTATGGGGGAAACTGAGGCTCAGAGAGGTGACCTAGCATATCCAGAGCACCCCAGTTCAGAGGCAGAAAGTCGCCGACCAAAGCACGAAGTCGCATGGTTCTATACTGCTTCCTGCCCTAGGACCCTGGACCTGGGATCTCCTTTGGCCTCAAGGAGCTGGGCTGAGCAGCTGTCCAGGGCTCTGGCTGCAGGGCCAAGTCGAGCTCCTCTTCTCCTGCCCCTTGCCTTCGGCATGCTCCTCTGCTGCTGAGAAGCTGGTGGAGGGTGACCCCTGCCAGTCTAGGGGACCACGCCCTTGGGGGATCTTGTGCGATCTAGAGCCTGTCAGTCCCGGGGGCAAGCTATGAGCAGAAGCTGGGGGTGGCACCTGACGTTCAAATGACTTCTGGTGAGTTCTCAGGCCTTCTTAGTGTCTCTGGCCCCAGGTAGGGAAGGAGGGAAGGAAGGAAACCCATGTGACGGGCCATCTGCCTCCGTGTGTGCTGCAGAGTCCTCTCCCTTCACTGCCCCTCGCTGGGAGGGCTGCTCCCCTGCCCTGCCCAGGGCACTCAGCCCTCTGGCCCCTCACCTGAGAGTCGGAGATTTCCGAGGGCTTCTCTGTCAGACTGCTGCTCTCTGCTGGGATGAGGTCGTTGTACTTGGTGACGTCCTCATCCGAGTAGTGGAGGCTGCCGGGGCTGGGCCGGGGAGGGGACCTGGAGAGAACAAGGAGGGGCCACATGGGTTCCTCTTTTCTGTGACCCCACACCTTCCGCTGGCCCTGGGGAGAGGGGCCTGGAGGAGGAGGGACAGAATGGGCACCATGCTGAGGCTGCCCGGGCACCATGCAGGGTGCACCGACCCTGCGGCTGCCTTCAGGGCCCTGGAGCCTGGGGCTGGTTTGGTGCAAACAAGATTTTCTGTGTATTCACAGTGGGCAGGGGACACACAGGGGCCTAGACGTGCACATGGTGGGCGGGAGATGTGGGCAGAGGCAGGAGGTGAGGCCGTTGGTGAAATGGGCCCTTGTTCCATGAGGCAGGGCCCTGGAGCCAGCCTGGCGGGCTGCTGTGGCATGCAGGGCCCGCTGGGCCTGCCACACGGCCTCCAGTGGCCCTTTCTAAGGAAGGTCGGATTTGGCCAGGGATGAGAGCCTGTGAGCCCCGCCCTCCGTCCTCCCCTCTGTCCCCCACCGTGAGCACACACATGGCTTGTCCCTCCAAAACAGAGACAGAGAGAAGCTTTGTGAGTCCACCCTGAGAGAGGCCGCCCCCTTCTTGCTGCGTCCAACGAGCCAGGAATGTCAATAGGGCCGAGGCTGGGGACAGGAGCCCCTGGCTGCAGTCACAACCCCCCCTGGAGCTCCTGGGGGCAGAAAGTGACCACATCCTATCGACAGAGGCCCCAGCAGTGTCCCCTGCCTTGGAAGAGGGCAGCCTGGCAGCAGCAGGGCTGGAGTTAGAGAGGAGCCGGAGCAGCAGAGGCTGGACAGGTGCCGGCGGCTTCCGCCTTCCCTCGGCTGCCTTCAGGTGCTGCAGCGGGTGGCAGGTGGGCGGCTGCGGCATTAATACGGACCAGAGAGGGGCTTCCACGCTGTCCCAGGTGGGGAGGGGATAGGCCACGAATGACTGGGTGGGGTGCCCCTGGCAAAGGTCCCCGAGGAGCGGGCTAGGTGCCTCAGCCGGCCGGGCTCACCTTGGGTCATGTGACCCCCTGCAGGCGGGCACTGGAGCGCTCGCCCTGGGTTAACTTGCAAAAATCCAAGGTGCTTACATTCTGCTGCCACTGAGGGGTCCACTTAGAACCCACCTCCTCGTGAACTCCCCAGTGCGCCCTGGGCTGTGGCTGCGCCTGGGGGACCCAGGGAACTGTCCCTGTGCCATCGCTCCCAGCCCCAGAGTTTGAATGCGGCTTCCCGGGACTGAGGAAGGTCAAGCGGGCAGCGCCTGCTCTGTGGTCTTCCCAGAGCGTCCCCAGCCTGCACTGCGGGGCCCTGAGCTCTGGCTCCCAAGCCCCCATCCCGCACCCCTCCCCTCGCGGAAGGCCCACTACCTGGTGTACAGGCCGTTCTTTCTGCAGAAGGAGTTTTTGACGGACAGCCGGCGGTTGTTGAGTTCCAGGGCGGGGAAACTGCTTTCGTCCAAGCTCATCATCTCCCCGTGGCCCAGGGCTCCGGATTTGGCACTGCTCCCTGTGGTGGGGGGAGAGGTAGACACCTCTCCACCTGTGGCCTCCCAGCCCACCCATTCCCTCACCCGGCAGGGCTCCCCTCTTTCTGCCGAGTTGAATAAGAGACTGAGATGGCATCCAGGAGCCCGATGTTCCCTACCTGAGCAGGGCACTGCCAGGAGAGCAACCTGCCCACCCCGCCCTGGCCAAAAGGGAGACGCGCGAAAGTCCAGTCCAGCAGCAGGGCTGGTGCCGGCTCACTCACCCGAGTCTGTCTTCTTGGCATATTTCTTGCTCTGGCCTCGGATGATGAGCACAAAGACCAGGAGCAGGATGAAGATGAGGCCCACGAGGGCGATGACCACCAGGAACCACCACTCCTCGTAGAAGGGGTTGGCCTTCTGGGCTGGAATGAGGATATGGGTGTCAGGTCCAGGGTGCTCCTGGCCCAAGCCTCCCGCCACCGCTGGGGCCCTTCCACTGCTCATGCAGATTAGGGTCGGCGGGTCTCTGTCCCCCGAAGGGGGAAGAACGGGAGACAAGGTTGAAGGATCGTTTCATCTCTGGTGAAGGACAGCCTGGGGGCCGTTTCACAAAAGGCTCTGGGGTTGCTTCCTTAGGTAAGAGTGCTGGGATTGACTCATGATGTCTGCCAGGGACACAGGAACTGGGGCAGCAGAGTGCTAGCTGCTTGTCCTTCTCCCTCCTTAGCAAGGAGGCAGACTTGAATTTGTGTGGGTGCTTCTCTGGCCTGCAGGGGACCTGGGTGAGTTTCCCCAAGGTTCCGTTGAGATGGAACTTTTATCTGGTGGCAGAAAGCAGGGACTTGGGAGGCTGGACCCATGGAGCCTGAGGATGCTCTTCCTGGTACGGCTCCCTTCTTTCAAGTACTGTGCTTCATGCACCCAGCCAAGAGGAATCCGGGTTGCTGCTGGTGAGGGGTTGCTCTTCTGCCCCAGTCAGAGCGTCTCTAGCCCCTGACTCGGTTCTGTCAACCTGGGCGAAGGAGCAGGTGCATGTGGGGAGGGGGGAGGCTGTGTTTCTGAGCTCATCCAGCGTGTAGGAATTTTGAGCTGTCTTTGTGCCTTGGAGAAAGGGGCTGTACAACTCCAAGTAGTTAGTGATCTGATTTGGATCCCGGGTGTAGACGTGAGTCCTGTGTGAACTCTGAGATATGCCGGCTGGGAAGAACAAGGAGGGGGGGGGTGGTTGACACAGGCCCTGGCCTCAGAGATTGCAGCTTTGGGGAACTGATGGGACATATCATTTTGTGGCCACCCCAATGTTTCTTATGCCCAGTGTGGGGTCTCTCCTCTTCCCCCACTGCCCAGTCACTGCCATCAAGGCTCTTCCATGGGACTCCTCTGCTCCTTGTCCCACAATCCTGTACCTGGCACAGACTGGGAAGGGCTGCTAGGGGTGCCGAAGCCGTAGTCGTTGACTGCGATGACCCGGAAGTCATAGCTCACGCCCGGCCTCAGGATGTCCATGCTGAAGGTGTAGGAGCTCACCTCCTTGGGGATGTCTTTGATGAGGATGTCCCAGAGCCCCTCATCTGCAAGAGCACAGAGAGGGGGTGCCACGAGGAGCCTCGAGTCCTGCCCAAACCCATCCCGCCACTCCCCAAGGCATCGGGTGGACACTGGGTTCAGTGCTTGGTGCCGAGGGGTCCCCAGTGGGTGCTTTTTAAAGACACAGTTTGGAGTGTGTCTTTTATTCTTTGTTACTAAGACATCTGTGAAACATTAATAAAATATGCACAAAGCAGAAAATATACAGCAGCAACCAACCCAATCCAGGTTGAACATCCCTAATCTGAAAATCTAAAATCTGCAGTGCTCCAAAACCCAAAATGTTTTGAGCACTAGGAGACAGACCACAAGTGGAAAATTCTTCACCACAAAAATTTATTTCAAGAGCAAAATTATAAAACTATTGGGTGAAATTATCTTCAGGCAATGTGCACAAGATGTATAGGAAACAGAAGTGAATTTTGTGTTTAGATTTGGGTCCAAACCCCAATCAGGTCCCAGGAATTTCAGAGAAGGGAGATCCAACCTGTACCACAACCTGGAGAAATAGATTCAACCTCTTTATCCTTTGCATAGAATGAGCTCCACCTCTTCTGTTTTCTGAGTTACTAAAATGGCTGGTAACTGATGTAAGAGGCGGCCTAAGATCTTGTCATATGGGAATATTCTACTTCACCCAACCGGGCCCTACCTTTCCTGATCCCCTTTCCTACTTAAAACATGGAGTGGCAGCAGGTGGAAGTAAGAGGACTCACCCCTACCTACGCCCGTTTTTCTTTTTCAGTAACCCTGCAAGGACGTTTCGGGTTTCTTGAGAGGGTTTGGTCAGGTGGCCTGGAGTGGCCGGGGTCATTCCTGGCTACCTCTTCTCTGTTTTTTTTTTTTTTCCTTACCAGGGATTGAGCCCAGGGGTGCTTAACCACTGAGCCACACGCTCAGCTCTTTTTAACTTTTGAGACAGGTTCTCACTTAGTCGCCGAGGGCCTCGTTAAATCGCTAAGGCTGGCCTCAAATCTGCGATCCTCCTGCCTCGGCTCCCTGAATTGCTGGGATTATAGGGGTGCACCACCAAGACCGGCTCCGCTTCCGCTTTTCTTAGGAGCAGAGATCAGAGGAAAGAGGGACGATGTCTCTTGGCCCCTGTCTGTTTGCCCCATGAAGCGAGCTTCGCCAGGGCCCTGTGGCACCCATCACGGTGGCAGGGAGGCCAGAGGGGCCCTGGCCAGATGCTCTGCGTGGGGTACAGGGACCAGCCTGGCCTCTGGAGGGAGGCACTTTGCTGCTGAGGTTAGAGGAGAGATAACTGGAAATGTCTCCTTGGAGTAAGGCCCCTGGGGCTCTCGTCTGACCCCTTCTTCATGGGGACAAGGGGCCAGAGGTCTTAGGAGCACCTTGGGGGACTGAGCGCACAGGCCCTCCCCTAGTGCCTTGCTCCAGGTGTTCACCAGCCACCAGTGGGCCCTCCAGGCTGCTCTCCGGGAGCAGCACCTCCGGCCTCACCCCCACGGCCCCTCTCGACAGGCCCCTGAACTCCTTCTGGAAAGAGCTGCCCCTGAGGCTGAAGCCGGCTCCCTGCTCAGCATCACGTCCCTGGCCCGGAGGACTCAACGTTTCTAACAGAACCAGCATCTCAGTCCAGAGCGCCAGCAGAGTTGCCCGGGCTCCTATCGCTGTTTCTGACTTTTGGACCAAGTATGTGGCAGGACCACTCAGGGCAGCCCGTTCCCGTCCAGTGTGGACCTTGCTGACTTGGGGAAGGTGACAGGGGCCCTGCCGGCCTTCACAGCTGTCCTCACCCAAGGCCCAGTGTCCTGAGCCTCAGCCTCATGGAAGGTCCGATGTTCCCGAGTCTCTGCTTGTCCATATCCTATCTTTTGTTCAATCTCTTTCTTGTTCGGCTGCAAATTCCTCCAGGGCAAGGCTCTGGCCTTGTTGGTCTCTGTGCAGACTGAGCCCCCAGCACAGATGCCTTCTAAGTGTTTGCTGAATAAACGAACCAAGTCTTTCTCTGCTGGTCTGTGCTCAGTTTTGGTGCTTCCTGCCTTGAAAGGCCAGAATTTGGGGCAGGTGACTGGGTTCTCTTGCTCACCTTGAAGAAGCTATTGTGAGGATAATGGCAAGGACACCCTGCCTCCTCTGTCCAGCATGCTGGGTGCCCTGCTTTCCTCTCCATGCGAGGGCAACGGTGAGATGAGAAAACCAAGGCTCAGAGAGCTTAAGTCATCTTGCCCAGGTCACTCTGCCACAGAGGCAGAGCTGGAGTTTCTGCCTGGGGTGGTCCGGCTCCTGGCATTGAACTTCCTCTGGTGCCCAGGACAGTGCCTGGAGCAATCCAGGGCTAACTCACTGCCCGCAGGCTTGTGGGGGACCCTGCTGCTGCCTTCTAGAAGCTGAGGTCTCCTGCCTGCTGCCGCTCTCCCCTTATTCTACCGCACACAGAGACAAAGGGTGGGGCCGGGGCAGCAGGGCCAGGCCAGAAGCTTCTGGAACGTGTCACTGTGGCCCTGGCCTTCAGCCCTGGGAGCTGGCTGGTCTGCAGGGCCAGGTCCATGGGTCTTTAAGTCCCCAGAGTGAATCCCTCCCGGCCATGCCAGGTACCTCCCCGGTCTGTAGAAAGTGGGATGTTCTGCTTCTTCTGTATAACACAGAGCACAGGCCAGGCAGGGACAAGGTACCACGAGAGCTATTTTGTCCTGAAGATAAGGAGCTTGGGAGCAGGGAGGGAGCATGAGAGGTGGGCAGCAGGCTGGGAGGACAGGAGCTGCCTATCCTGGAACAGGAGGCTTCTTGCCAACAGCTTCAGGGGACGGCCATGGCACTTGCCCAGCCCTGGCTCCTGCCCCTCTTCCCCTTGGGTGGAAGAGGGCCTGCCGCGGGGCTCTCTGGGCCTGCTTGGCCCTGGCCTTTAATTAAGCGTAGTCTTGGTCCTTCCTTTTCTGCTCAGTCCTCGACTGCACCTGTGCCACTACAACGGCACCAACAGCCAGGGCTGGGAGGGCAGAGACGAGCTGAGGTCATGGCCCCCAAACTTAGAACTCCAAGGCTCGTGCCGGGCCTCCCTAGGGACACTGGAAAATCAACAGGCTGGAGTCCAGGGCCGACATTCCATCGCTGGCAACCAGGTCGGCCAACGTGGTGGGATAAACGGGCGCAGGCCCCGGTGGGGAGAAGCACACAGTGGTCTCCTGGCCAACTCAGCTGCCTGCACTAGAGGGGCAGGGAGGGACCATCTGGAGCGGGGACTGAGCCAGCGCCGCGTGCCTCTCAGCCAGTTTGGCGCATCTGAGCTGCTAGATGGATTAGCTATTGCAACTGTGATTATTAGCAGAATATTAAGACAATGGCTGGTGGCAGCGGCCTTGGGAACTCCTAGAGTTATTAACTCTGCTTTTGGGGATGACTGGCCCTCGACTCTGCAGAGGTGGTACTGATTTGTCTCTGGAATGATTCGATATTCCGCATGGGAAGCTTTAGCTGCTGATCCGCTTGAGGACTTCTCATCATGATTATTATTTGCTATCGGGTTAGAGCAACAAAGTCTTTCCTTTCCCGGATTCAGTTACACAACCACAGATCCGCATGACACCCAAAACAAGCCTGCCGCGCTCGGCTGGCCGTGGTGCCTCTGATTAACCTAGAAATCTGGCGGCCAGGGAGCAGGGGTCCTGTCAGGGGAGCCCAGGAAGCAGGGGAAACAGGAGCAGACAGGGAGCAGTCGCCCCGAGTGACTTATCAGCTGCTCATCCCCTGATGGCTTTGGAAGTTCTTGTGATTGGATTTCAGGCTTGACAGGAGAGGCCGGTGCCAGGCACCAACTGCCAGGGCCGGGATGGCAGAGACGAGCCGACAGGCAGCGGGCCCTCCTCAGCCAAGCAGCGTCCGCCAGGTGCTCAGGAGGGTGTGGGATTTAACCACCGTGCGCCACATTCTTCTGGTTTCTGTGACCATCCTCAACCCAGATCAGACCTCGCCTAGAACTAAGAGTCCTTCTCTGGTGGCTTCTTACCCAAGCAAGAGTCCAGCTCAGAGGAGCCCCAGACCCCCGTTTCTCCCTCCCCAACAGGGCCCCGGCAGCCCCCCACCCACAGTAGCATGAGTGTCAGACACGAACCCCAAGTGTGGGGACTCAGGAAGGGGCAGGAAGTGAGATGTGGAGACTCTTCCCAGAGGGAGAGGCAGCCCAGCCAAGCAGGGCCCATCCCAGTGTGCGCCCACCTGAAGGCCTGGCCTCTATGACGTAGCGGGTGATGGGCCCTTTGCCAGGGTCTCCGCTGGACCAGTGGATGGCGATGGCAGAGCTGTACCTCACGAGGATGGGCACTCCTGGAGGTCCTGGGGCACCTGCAAACCACACAGTGAGCGAGGGGTGTACAGAACCCCCAGAAGCTGCCCAGCCCCTCAACCTGGGCTGGAGGAGCAGGAGCGGGGCGGCCAGGCTCACCCCGGGCCAAGAGCCGCTAGAGCCGCGATGCTGAGGCCCGAGGAGCGTGCTTTCTTCAGGCCCGCCAGGCTGCACCCCATTGGTCACCCCTGCACCCCACTTCCAATCCCAGGGCAGCGGAGGGCATGAGATAAGCAGGAAGGAGTCAGAGGGGTTTGGTCCCAGCCCAGAAACGATCAGATGGGTGACTTGGATCACTTTTCATGTCCCTCCAGTGTGCCTCAGTGTGTCCATCTGTAAGGGCCTCCGGGAGGCTAAGGCTTGACGGGAGGTGTCCTGGGGGCGGCCGAGGTGGCTGCCGTGAGAGCAGATGGGATGCTGGCTGGGAGGGGGCTCCCATTCTCCTTTCCTGGCCGGTGATGGTGGCATGGCCCTACCTCCTGCTTGAACTTTCCCTGCCCCCAGCTGCACTTGCTGCTAGGCCAGGTGGGGAGAGAGGAGGCCCCGGGAGCCTGGGCAGGCGGAAGGAGGAAGAACCGAGCTCCCTGCCACCCCTCTGGCCCGTAGGTGTGTCCAGGGAGCAGCCTGGGACATCGCCAGCCAGGAAACCAGAGCAGGAGACAGGAGGTTGCTTCTGTAGACGGAGGAGTGTCAGGCACCTATGTACAGAGGGCCCCGCGCCCCTTCCTTTCTTGGGGAGCACCTGCCAGGGCAAGTGGGGTACCCGTCCCTGTGTTGCTGCTGTCTCCAAGCCCCCGTCTCTCCTGCTGTTGTCCACCAAGCCTGCTTCCCCCAGACATGGGCTTGGCCTCTCCAGAGCCTGGCACGTAGTAGGTGCTTCCTGGGTGCCTTTGGGACCCAGGAAGATGCTGGAGTACGGCAGCTGGGAGCTGCCTTGGTGAAAATGGCAGAGAGCCCAGCACTGCACGGAAGCTCCTCCAGGCCAGGGGAGCATGTCGGCCTGGACAGGAGGCCAGGGACTTGTCACATGGCTGGGCAGCTCACTGCTGGGCCTCTCTGTCTGTCCTGCACTGTGGCCTTGGAGGACTTTATGTCCTTCCTCCCTCCCTGCCCCAAGGAGCATCCTGCCTGCAGCCCAGGGGACAGTAGAGCTGGGTCTTTCAGGTGTGGAGGGCGGGGGTGACCCTGGGACAGGACAGTGCTCAGGGCTGAGGGAGGGGCTGGGGCGCTGCCCGGGGGCTCCAGGTAAAGGAGGGCCTGGCTGGGCTCCCTGCAGGCTCCTCCCACCCATAGGGGCCGGACGGCCATATTCTTTCTTTCTGGGTGTCTCTCCAGCCTCCTGCCTGCATCTCCCACCTTCCATAGAATAGTCACCCTCCGGGTGACCCCCTCCTGTCCCCAGTCACTGAGTAGCCCTCCCTTTGCTGGCCAGGGCCCTTCCTGCTTGTGGTTCCTGGGAAGACTCAGGTGCATGCGTCTAGGGCGGGGCTGGGGTCAGGTGCAGGGTGGAGCTGGCCAGCTGCCTCCAGTGCCCTGCGGCCTTTCTCTTCAGGGTGCCAGAGACAGGTCTGCTCCTCTGCAGAACCATTCCCGGGAACAGAAAGTGACCAGAAAGGAACAGGGAGGAGTGGCCAGCTGGGGTCGCCAGGGAGAGGCAAATCCACTGCACGTGGAAGGACAGGAGACCAGGGTTCTGCTGGGCGCTGCTCCCTCCTAGAGCCCGGGCCTCCTGGGGAGAGGGCCCTGTCGCGTGGGTGGGGCGGCCGAGGGAGGGCAGGGGACGTCTGGGATAGGCTGCCGACTTTCTGAGTGAAGGAGGGGGTGGGCAACATGGCCTAGAGGTGGCTCTTGTGTTCAGGATGGGCTGGGCCAGGACTCTGGAGCCTAAACCTGGCGCCACACACAACCGGGGGAGGACGCCAGAGAAGGGGGATGGTTAAGGGAGGTGATCAGGGAGGGCTTCAAAAGCAGAGCGTTCAGACATGCGTGAATACAAGATGGCATTCTGTGGTGTAAAGGTGGCTAGGCGGAGGGTGAGGGGCTTGGCTCTTCAGAGGTTGCCTGCTCCACCAAAATTCCCAGAGGCGCCAAAGTGGTCACACCCTCCAGGTATTCCTGTGATTAGTGCAGATTGCTGGGCGCCCCCTCGGTCCCGTCCCAGGGAATCAACATCTCTGAGCCCGCACCCTGGAATGCACAGTGTAACAGGAGCTGAGGGGACTCTTCTGTACCCACTCTGAGGGCATTGGTGGTTCTGGGGCTGGGCCAGGCCAGAGGCAGGGGACCTACCGACTACTGCATCCTTCCTGGAAGGAGGTGATGGAGGCTGGGAGGGAAAGAAAGGGGCACGTGGACAGGACTGAGCCCTGGGAGGAGGGTCTGGGATTGTGACTTAAGGATCCCAAGGACTCAGATGCCATTAACCAAGTACAGAGCCCAGGAGGCTGGAGGAGGGAGGGGATGGGCGGGGGAAGAGCCAGCTCTGCGCTCCCCCTCTGTCTGCAGGGTCTAGCACAGCTCTTGACACCTGGGGGCCCCCTCTGACTTGGGGTGCTGAGGTGCTTATTGCCCCCCTACCTTCTCCTGGGCCTGTGGTGACGTTGGCTTCAATCTCCGGCCCGTAGGTGAAGGTCTTGGCTCTGATGCGGAACCTGTAAGTCATGCCCTCGGCCAGGTCCTTCACCTTCAGCCACAGAGGGCTGCTGCCCTTCACGTCCACGGTCACGATCTTGCTGACCCCTGGGGAGGCACAGCGAGCAGGGGTTGAAGAGCTCGTAGGAGCACCAGCCCCATGGCCACTCAGTTTCCCAGAGCGCAGTCCTCTAACTGTTCTTGGAGAGAAGCGCGCAGCGGTCAAAGCCTGAGAACCTCTGTGAGCTGAACAGGGTCCAGTTGCACCCGGCAGGAAGAGCACTCACCTCCTGCAGCACTTACAACGGTACCCCACACTGACGCCACCCCACTTTTATCTCCTGTATAACGTCCCGTGGAACTTGAATTCTAGGCACTGTCTATCGGGAAAGCCTTCTGTCTTTCCATGAGCTGGAGGGGACACCGGTGACCGGCTCCAGACCCCACCTTGGCCCCACCCCCAGTCCCACCTCTAGTCTCCTCTTTCCTCCAAAGGGAGCTGAGATCCCCAGGGCCTCCATCACCCGCCCCTTTTTAGGACAGAAATGAGGCTGTCCCGGCACCCCAGGTCCCGGCAACCAGAGGGCGGGCTGGGGGCTGCTTTCAGGTGGGGGTGTGTGCTCTGAGCCCAGCCCCTTCACTGCCGGCCTCTCTAAGGGCTGAGCTCCTTTCCCATTCCAAGGTCCACGCTGGTCACCATGCAGGGACAGGTTTTGCAGTCCCCGGGCTGGGCTCAGAGCCCAGCGCTGGCCCTGGGTGTCTTTGGGCATGCCTCCCAGCCTGGTTTCAGCTGGTTCTTCTATTGATCCAGGGGATTAAGAGCCCCATGCAGGGAGCACCCTAAACATAAGAACAGAGCTCCCAGCACACGGGTGGTGCCTGGTCGAATCATTGAGGAGGGAACAATGAGAGGGTGGGACAGCGGGAGTCAGGACCAGGGACACTGGGCACCTGTTTCCTGACACTGCCGGACACACCCCTTGCCTGCCTGGGCCTTGGTTTTCCTGCAGGGGAGGGGGCTGCTGGAGACCTGGGAGGCTGGTTTGCTGCTGGCCCACACCCTGGGCTGGGGCAGGAGCCGGGCAGACACCACGCTGTCCAGACAGGGCTTCGTCCAGCCTCATGGTGAGCTGGGCTGTGACGGGGAGGGCGGGAAAACGTAAGCAGATACAGCTCAGCAGAGTGGATCCTGCACACCGAGAGATGCGCTCGCCACCCTCTAGGCGGGAGATCCCTGGACAGGCCAGGCAGAGGCCACTGTGTTGAAAGCTTGTACTGACCCCCTGCATCTTGTCTCTGTGACCTCCGTCCTGGGACCTGTCCCCAGGTCTCCTCCTCAGGCCCCGCTCCCCCTTGGTATCATAATGCACAGGTCCACTCTGCGGGACAAGCTCCTGGCACCCAGGTGGTGGCCGGGGAGACTGAGGGTCATTGTTCCCTCCACTGACCCAGAACTGCTGGCAGCAGAGTGTTCCCAGGCTCCGCCCCTTGTACTTGCCAGGCTCCATTGTTGGGAGGCATGAGGGCAAGAGGGATGACCACAGAAGTGGTCACTTCCTGCCACCAGAGCACCCATGGCAGGCCAGCCACTGCCCAACAGCTCGCTAGAACCAGCAAGTCCCAGCTCAAGCCACCCAGCCTCCTCCCTGCCCCTAAGACCCCGGTCCCCAGGAGATGGGTGATAACAAAAGAACAGCTGTTTCTGGGCACCCTGCTCAGCCCAGCTCGCTCACACCCCGTGTCCGGGCAGCCCTGGGGGGAGGAAAGCAGGCAAGAGTCTGATGTCCCCATCAGGGTCCCAGGAGCCCTGCCTGGGGCCTGGGAGTGGGGCCTGGGGGGTGCTGGAGGGGTCTGAGGGCAGCTTTGATGAGCGGGGCTCAGGTGTGAGGGGCATCTGTGGGGCAGGTCTCTTGATCTGCAGCTGGCATTAGGGGTGCAGTGACCCCCAACTTGTGCATCTTCCTGGGGAGAGGCTCCGAGGCTTTGAGCAGATTCTCCAAGGGGTTACTGACCCTCCAAAGGGCAAAGAAGGTGGGCCCTGGAGGAGGGCTGAGAACTCTGGGGTTCGGGAGGTGCTGGGGTAGGACAGGACGCCAGCGGTCCCCTTCTTCAGGGTCCCTATACAGGCCTGTCCACCTTGGAGACTCCGTTTCCCTGGCTGCTCTGCTTCTGGTTGACTGAGGGGAAGAATGGGTTGCAGGATTCTCTGTCTAGAAGTCGGGGGGTGTACAATGCCACCCTCAACTTGCCGGTATTCAGCCTTGGGGACACCTGTCCCTGGTCTGGGCCTCAGTTTCCCTGTTGGAAAGGGGGCAAGACTCTCACTGCTTCTAACCAGTGCACAGCGACTGAGGCAGGGGCCCCAGAGGACGGGGCGGTGTGGGGCAGGTCCACTCACCGTCCACTGGGGTGCAGGGCTCGTAGACCACCCTGTAGCCCTCCAGGACCCCGTTGGGGAAGTGCGGGGCTTCCCAGGACACGTTCACTGAGGTCGTGGTCAGCTCGCTGAACTTGACGGAGCCGGGCGCGCTAGGGGCTGGGGAAAGACAGCACAGGGGTTTGTTCTCTCCTTCTGCGGACGTTCAAAGTGTGGGGTTTGGTTCCAAGAAACTAGCGGGAGTGCTTGGGCCCGGGCCCGGGAAGAACAAGAATGCCCGGCCCAGAGCAAGGCTGCAGGAGGGGTCACCAGAGGCCACTGGACCCCTTCCCCGCCTCCCTCCATCTTAGCACTCGAATTTCCCAGATTGAAGTCCCTGGAACAGGAAGAAAAGGGGCTGCATTTCCTCCTCAGGCTGGAGAACTTGGACCTGTCCCCGAGGAGCGGCTGTGAGCCTGGCCAGCGGCCCGGGGCCAGCCATCGCACCTCCAGGGTCACCGTGGGGCAAGGCTACTTCCTGGCTTTGAGGGGTGCAGCTTTCGACTTTCCTGGTGAGTGGGGAGGTGGGGTGTGCGGGCCTCAGACCACAAGGAGGACACTGATCAAGGAGAGGCCGCGACGTAGCCGGCAGAACGGCCTTCCCCTTGCCCCGGCTCGACCCAGAGACACCATGCTGTCAGGGGGAGCCAGAGCCAAGGACGGTCAAAGGCTCCGGAGGGGAAGGGATGTTTCTCAGCCGCTGTCCTGAAACATGGGGTGGGGGGCCTCAGAGGGGGACTGGGAGGAAGGCAGGAAGCATCCCCCTCCACGTGTCCCGGATGGACAGGCTATTATTGTCCGGCGCTGCCTCCCCGCAGGGCTGGAGCTAATCTGGACGGGCTTCCGGCTCCAGAAGCGCCAGCTCGGGAGGCAGCGTGGGCAGCTCCGGCCCGAGCGCCTTTGAAGGAGGGAGGTGAGCTCAGGGCCCTTCCTGCCTCCCCTGGGTAGAGACGTGGGACAGAACGTTCTGTCCTGCGGCTGCAGCCCGGGAGCTTCCAGACCCCTAGAGCCTCACATCCGGCCCCAACACGCTGGCCGAGAGTGGCTGGGACGGGCAGACAGACAGACAGACAGACAGACAGACAGATAAGAGACCTGCACATTCGGATGCTCAGAGCCCAGCCTCAGCCTGGGGCGCCTGCTCCCTGCAGCTATTTAAGAACAAACATGATGCGCTGCAAGGCGAGCGTTGGGATGGTATGGTAGGGGGCTGTGGGGAGGCGGGGCCAGAAGCCTGCAGTGGTCCTCCGTAACCATGGGGACAGGTGCTAGGACCCCCATGGATGCAAAAAGCTCAGGATCCTCAAATAAAATGGCTCTGTGTAGAACCTATGCCCCTCTTCCCATGCCCCAAATCCTCTCTAGGTTCCTTACAACATCCGGCACAAGGGACAGGCTTCGCAAATAGTTGTCATACAGAATGGCCAGGAAAGGTTCCTAGTGTTCAGTAAAGATGCAGTGGGAACTCTTGGTTCTCCCAGGAATCCCGGGTCCCAGCCTCTGCTCCCCCATGACCAGCTGGAGGACCTTGGGTAACAGATGGGTTTTATGGGGGGACCTTTCCCTGGTGTTGCCCATTATGGGTACTGGAAGGAGGATCCAGGGTGGTTCTGCCCAGGAAGAGGCTTTGGGTCCTACGTGGCTTGCTCCACATTTGCTGGCCACAGAACCCCTACCTTTGCCTTCTCTGATCTGCCCTCCTGTCCAGCCTCCCGTCTGGCCTCCCTGCCTCCAGCCTCTCTCCTCACAGTCTGTCCTCTGTCCGGCATTAAGAGCAATGATTTTCAAAATATTAACCAGATCTCATGGCTCAACTGCTTCACCCCTCCAAGGGCTTCCATGCCCCTTAGAATTCACCCCCATCCCCCAGGCCCTCAGAGGCCTCACCCTCACCCCGTTTTCTTGTGGGCACTGGGCTTTCTCTGTGTCCCTGCACTGTCCTCCAGCCGCTGGGCCTTTGCACCTGTTGTCCGGTCCACCCCCTCCTGAACTTCCCACAGCTGGCCTCTTCTCACCCAAGCCTCAGCTCAGATGTCCCCACCTTCCTGAGGCCAAGTCACCCACCGTGGCTAACTAATCTATTTGCTTAGATTCACGCCCCTCACCAGGGTGGGGACTTGTTGGTCCACTGTCCCTGGCATCAAGCACAATGTGGGCTCATGGAGGACGCTCAAATATTGGCGGGATGAACAGAGGCAGGGGGATGGAGGGAGGAGGGGAGAGCCAGGCAGGGGGTCGTAGTGATCTGGGGCCGGGGTGAGTGCGGTGAGATGTGGGGGCTTTCTCACAGCTTATGGGGACAGCTTCTCTTTTCTGAGCTCTCCTGTCTGGGCCCCTCTTTGGGGGCTGGGATCTCGCACCCTGAGGGTGTCTTGGGGTCCTGAGTGCCCAGCCCAGATCCTCAGCGGATCAGGCAGCTGCCCCTGGGGCAGACCAGCCCCTCCCTGGGGTCTCTCCCCACCTGCTTGCTGGGTTTGGCCCCAGGTGGGGGCGCTCCGCGGCCCGTCTCCTGCGGCGTTGAAGGCCGCCACGCTGACCATGTAGGCCGTATAGCCCGTCAGGTTCTTGAGCTTCACGCCATTCTCAGCCAGGAAAAGCGTCTTCATGCGCTCCGTCAGGTTCTGCCTCTGGGCTTCCCAGAAATAGATCTGTGGACACAGAGGACTGTGGGAGGGAGGGGGGACAGAGACACAGGGCTCCCCTCCTGCCCTGGCCCACCCGGGGCCTTAGAGACGCCTGTGTGAGGCGTCCAGGAAACAGGAGTGTCTGGGAGATGCTGTAGAAACCTCTGCAAGGCCCGGCTTTTCCCAGCCAAGGGCCCCAGTTGACAGTTGGACTGTCAACACTGCGGGGTTCAGTCCCTGGCGGCTCCTTCTCAGTCCCCGTAGGATCTCCCGCTGGACATCAGCCTCTGATTACAGATCCTGGAGGAATCTGCCAGCTGTCAGGCAGGAAGCTGAGCCGAGAGGTGAGCACCAACAGAGTCATCCACCCTGGCCGAAGGGGGTGCACGGGCAGCAGCACCCCACCTGGGAGCGGCTGAGCCCCAGCCACCGGCCCCCAGACCTGCTGCAGGTTACCGAGGACTCCAGGGAGCACAGGCCACACTGTTTACTAGCAGTGACCTGGCCAGGTGACTTCTCTGAGCTGCAGTTTTGTCATGTATACAGCTCCCGGTTGTCATGGAACAGGTATGGCCCAGTGCCTCCGCGGGCGGGCGTGGCTGGCTTTGGAAGGTAGCTGTCTGCAGGTTTCCGGCCAGGAGCGCAGCAGGTGCCCCATGGTGCTTCCACTGATCTCGCCTCCAGCAGGGGCCGATGATACTCCTGGTTACCCAGTCTGGCAGATTCTTTGACTAGTTTAGAACTTTGAACCAAGGGCACCTCTTGGAGGATTCGAGATCATTTGGCGCCCCCTGCTGGCCGGAGGGGTTTCCGCACGCTTTCCAATGTCCGGCTTTTCAAGGTCTCAGTTTATCCGGAGGAAGCCCATGAAGGTCCGCCTCTTCTCATATGGGTGGATGGGCAGGAGTTGAGGTGGTCATTCATAAAGCCACTCATTCCTCCCTTGTCCATGCACAGCAAGGGGACGCAGGGCTCCTGCGTTGAGGGGAAAGGTCAAGGCTAAGGTCGGCCCTAGGTGGGATTTGGAAACCCACACCAGGAGAATCGCAGACTCCCGTAGATAGCGGCTGTGGCTGCATTCCTGGGGGCCTTGGCACTCAGCGTTGGGAGGAGAGTTGGAACAGCAAAGGAGAGTGAGCGGGAGCCTCTGGCCAGAGAAGCCAGAGAAGCCAGCCGCCCTGGAGGAGGGAGGGACGGCCCGTCCAGCAGCTGCCAAGTCAGGACGAGACCCGAGATCTGAGCACGGTGACCAGGGATGAACCCTTCCATGTGATGGATTGGGAACCTACTCAGAGGGGGTTCAAGAGAGAACGAGCCAGGCACCGTGGTGCACGCCTGTAATCCCAGCAGTTTGGGAGGCTGAGGCAGGAGGATCGCGAGTTCAAAGCCAGCCTCAGCAACTTAGTGAGGCCCTATCTCAAAATAAAAAGGGCTGGGGATGTGGCTTAGTGATTAAGTGTCCCTGGGTTCAATCCACAGTTAGAGAGAGAGAGAGAGAGAGAGAGAGAGAACACAAGAGAAGAAGAGTTGGATGGAGAAGAAATTCCAGAAGATTTTTTTTCCTTTTTTTTAGAAAAATTGTTTTTTTAGTTGAAGTTGGACACAAGACCTTTATTTTATTTTTATGTGATGCTGAGGATTGAACCCAGCACCCTGCACTGCTAGGCGAGTGCTAAACTGCTGAGCCACAACCCCAGCCCCTCCAGGAGATTCTTTTTGAAGAATTATGCTGCCAAGGGACCAGCCAAAGAATGGGGATGACTGGAAGAAGATGTGGGGTCAGAAAAAGGCATTAGAAGGGAAATAAGCTGGGGACAGTGAGGCACACCTGTGATCCCAGCTACTCAGGAGGCTGAGGCACGAGGATCACAACTTTGAGGCCAGCCTCGGCAACTTAGAGAGACCCTGTCTCAACATAAAGAGGACTGGGAGTGTAGCTCAGTGGTAGAGCACCTGCCTAGCACGCCTGAGACCCTGGGTTCAACTGCTGGTCTCACACACACACACACACACACACACACACACACACACACACACATCTCAGAATGTGTTTGTGCCCTGTCAACAACAGCCATGGTGCAGGGTGGGGTGGGGCAGGCGGAAGGGTCATGGCTGGCCCCTGGCCCTTGGGGAGGGGAGGTCAGGGCGCAGGACCAACCAGGGGTGGCATACACACAGACAAGCCTTCTTGTCTGGGCACTGGACGCAGCTGGCTTCGGTAGACGATGATCAACAGCAGGAAGGACTTACGCACAGTACACCAAGGGCCTGAGCCAGGTCCAGGTCCCCGGGGGGCCGGCAGCCGAGTGGCAGTGCCAGGACTCCTGCTCCAGAGGGCAGGCGCCGGGCCCCTTTGGCTCCCTGTGTCCCAGGCGCCCAGGGTCATGCCTGGCACGTCGCTGGTGCCAGGAAACACCGCAGGCGAGGATGTGCCTCCCGTAGACAGGGCTGGCTCAGGAGCCTGTGACGTGCCACCACTGTCCTCTACCTGCTCAGTGCCCTGTCCTTGCTTTCCTTAAGATTTATTGAGGTCATCGACAAATAAAAATTGTCTGTATTTAAGGCCATGCTCCGCACAACCGACCCCTGCAACCAAGCGCATCCACACACCCACCAGCTCACAGTTACTCTTTCCCCTCTTGATCCTGGGGATTGAACCCAGGAGCACCTAACCACTGAGTGACACCTCGAGCCCTTCTTATTTTGAGACAGGGAGTCCCTAAGTTGCTGAGGCTGGCCTTGACCTTGCGATCCTCCTGCCTCAGCCTCCTGAGCTGCTGGGGTTTCAGGCGTGCACCCCGGTGCCTGGCCTGAGTCACTTGAGTTGCTGGGGTTTCAGGTGTGACCACTGCTCCTGGCCCGCCCTTTCTTCTGTGTGTGCTGAGAACACTTAAGCTCCACCCTCAGCAAATTCCCACTGTGCGGTTCTGTAAGCTCGTCACTATGCAGCCGTACACGAGACCCCCCAGAACGAATCTGCCGGTGTAACTGGACTTTTTAGGCTCTGGGCAATGTCTCCGTTTCTCCCTGGCCGGGCAATCACCCTTCTATGAGTTTGACTATCTTATTTTTTCCCTCGCCACTGAGTTGGACTCCATGTGTAGGAGAGCTCAAGTAGCACGAGTCTCTCTGTGTTTGGCTTATTTCACTATTTAATAGAAAGTCTTCTGGTTGGTGCAGGTGCGAGCGGCAGGCTTTCCCTCCTCCTGAAGGCTGGGTAACATTCCCGCCTGTCTGCCTCCACGCTGCCTTTCTCCACCCACTCACCCACGGGTCAACATTCAGGCTGGTTCCACCTCTTGGCTGTGATGGATCAGGCTGCAAGGAACAGGGGAGGCAAATATCTCTTCAAGCTTCTGGTTTCAAGACGGGCGCAGTGGTGCACCCATGGTCCCAGCAACTCTGGAGGCTGAGGCAGGAGGATCTAACGTTCAGGCCAGCCTCGGCAACTTAGTGAGGGCCTGTCTCAAAATTCTAAAATATTAAAAAGGGCTGGGGATGTAGCTTGTCGCGAGCCGCCCACGGGCCGTGTGTGGGGACCGTTGCGCACAGTAGCCAGATGAGGGGTAGTCTGGCACGGCAGACTCCCGGTCAGGGTGATGCAGGTGAGCCCCCGTCAAGCTCTGCCTAAGACCCCGCACAGCACCTGAGATGGGTGTGACCTGCTGAAAGATGTCATCAATCTGCTGACCACAGACATCAGGAAGCAGGACTCCGCCTTGAAACCTTATCCCTGCCTTTGATGTCCCTGTTATAAAATAAACCAGACTCAGGTCCTCTCTCTTTCCAGCCAGGAAGCGTGACCCTTAAGGTCGAAGTACGTCCTGCCCTGGATTTAAAAAAGCGACTCTGTGTTGTGTGATTTTTTTCCGTTCTCTTGTTCTTAGCTTAATGTTGCAGCCAGCCCGTTTAAACCCAGTTTGTCTCCTCTGCGAGGGATGCGGTGGAGAGTAGCTCAGTCACAAAGTGCTCTGGGTTCGATCCTTAATACCAAAAAAAAAAAGAGAGAGAGAAATCTTGATTTCAGCCAGGCCTGGTAGCACCTGTAATCTTGGACTGGGGAGGCTGAGGCAGGAGGATCACAAGTTCTAGGCCAGCCTCAGCAACTTACTTAGACTCTATCTCCAAAGAAAAATAAGAAGCGCTGGGGATGTGGCCTAGCGGTAAAGTGCCCTTGGGCTCTTATCCCCAGTACCAACCCCACAAAAAGCCCAACTGACTTCACTTCATTTGGATAAATACCCGGAAGTGAGGCTGCCGGATAATATGGCAGTTTGATTTGGAACCTCCAGGCTGCTCGGCACGGAGGCCGGGCCATCTGCACCCCGCGGACAGCGCACAGGGTTTGGGTCCCCAGGTCCCCTGCTATCTGTGACTGCTGGTTGACAGCCTCCCCGACAGGTGGGAGCTGACATGTGGCCCTGGCTTCCACCTGCACTTCCCGGTCGTTTGTGACGTTGAGAACCTTTCCACACCTGCTGGGCATTAATGGGTCCTCTCTTGAGAACCGTCTACTGGGGTCCTTCGCCCCACTTTTAAATCAGGTCACTGGTTTTCTTGCTCTGAGTTGACTGAGCTCCGTGGTCTGGCTCTGAACTCCCGATCAGGGGCACCGTCTGCAGTGTTGCCTCCCATCCTGCAGGTTGTCCCCTCTGTCCACTCCTCTCTGCTGTGTCTCTGTCCTGTCCTGCTGCACCTGAAACTGGCTGAGCTGCAGCCAGAGCGAAATCCCCCCAACTGGGCGCAGACCAGCCGTCTGGGGAGAGCCCGGGTGGGAGGCCGCTGGGTATGGTGCCTTGTCCAGCCCTGGATGACCCTGTCCTGAGTCCCTGGGGGTGTCAGAGGCTGAAGTCCGAGGGTTCTCAGGTGTCTTCTCTAGGGTGTCGTAGTGTTGCATTCAACCTACGCACATCCTTTGTGCCCTCCAGACCATCTCAGGGTTGCTAATCTCCCCCACGCAAAACGCAAATGCTGTGGCCACCGTGGCTGGTCGGTGGGTTTAGGAATAATGACAAGGTAAAGTC